CCGACGTGTTATGCCGCTTCGGTCGGGGGTGTGACGCTACTCTTAGACTTAACATTACTTTTGGCACTTGACTTGGTCCTACTTGAAGATTCACTTTTTTTTACTCTGCGGGAAACGGAGCATCACGGTTTCTGCTTGTGTGACCGATCCTTTGGCAATGGCTACATTTTTCTGAATCGGACCTTCACCTTGGGATAGGATACGGTTATGGTTTTTAGGTCGCCCGACTTGTTGTTTATCCATCAATGGTGGCAAAACAACCATGACTTCATCTGGTTCTTCATATTCAGCTGGAACTGGCACATGAAACACAGCCTCTACATATGTTGATCGATATGTTTCCATTGTAAAGTAGGATGACACCCATGCACTGCAGTTTTGATATCTCAGAACCTTGAATACCGCCATAGGATGAGTACAAGGTATACCGGACAATTGCCATTTCCCACACGTGTAATAACAACTTTCCAAGTTTACTATACCATTTTTCATTTGGTCAGTCACCTCATATCTGCTTTGATCAATCCGGTATACCCGAAAAGCAGAGGATTTGTTAATCCTCCTGTCGATGACCTTCTCAACATACTTAGTAACATCTTTTTTGCTTTCAGCTATAACAAAAATTTACGTATATGTTGTCATCCGCAGTAAATTACACTAAAGTTATCATTAAACTATTACAATAAATGGAAACACTTACCTCCAGCATTACGTCGCTGGCACCACCATTGTTGCATAGTTGCTCGAAAAGAAATCGATCAACATTGTTATCGGTAGTTTCCCTACGTCTCTTGATAATGTACTGACGGACTCGACACTGTTTGATGTCATAATATTGTACCGAACCATAAGGAAACACGACCTTGCCCATCTCTCGTTACCGATTCTGTCTAGCCATGTCTGACAATCAACAATCATCGTTTAGTTCACGACATAGCCTACCCAAGTTTTCTTTGAAATTAGACTCTCGGTAAGCCTTTGCAGCCTCCCAAAACAAAATCTTTGTTCTCTCGTGCTAGCCGATCTTTGCTCTCATATTCATCAACAAATAGCGATAACAAAGTCCGTGATATGCATTCGAGAACACGACTTGAATGGTCATTTCAATTGAATTTGCTCTATCTTATATAATAGACAAAGATGACATGTCCCCAATACATTTTTTGAGTCTTGATAAAAACCAAATCCATGACTCTCCACTTTTCCCAACAAAAAATACAATATGGAGGAGTTGGTTATTACCATCCATGCCTACTGTTGGGAACATGGTGCCCAAGTATTTCCCTTTAAGGTGTGCGACATCAATGATAATAATAGGACGCAAACATCTTTGATATGCTCGAACCTAAAAAGTAATTAATAATCTAATTAAAGTGAACGCATATGTATGGACGTTAACTATAAAGAAGTAGGTATATAAAATAGAGGGAAAATATATTACCGCGCAACTGATAACCATGAAAAAGTATTCAAATTTGTTGTCATCACTCGTCTTTATATGTGTAACAGTCCCTGGATTCTTCTTCTCCACATTGTAACAGTACAAAGGTAGTCTTAGAAAGCTTTCTTGAAGGGTCCCTCTCAATAGATTTCGAGCATACATTTTAGCATTCTATGCTTGCTAATACGAAATATGTATACAAAGACAATTATTTAAAGTTCGTTGTATCTGTTTCCCCCGAAACATATTACGGGTACTATCAGCTAATATGCCCTTCAGGAAGTAACCCAATACCTTTTTGTTGGCTTTTCGGTGATGAGGACGTAGTTGTGTATTTGAACAAGTGTGTTTCTATGATAGTTTAACCACTTGAAATGTACCAGTAGTATTATGTTTTGTTGCCCTAATCCACTAGTCACAATTATCCATATAGCAAACAACTTCAAACCTATCTTTTGTAGATTTTTTCACATTATATTGGAAACCTTCAGTGACACTTTTCAATCCTAAATTAAGCTTAAGTGATCCTTTGTTTTTGAAGAGTTGGTATAACTTCAGATGGGAATTATAGTTATGCGTTGTGGCCCCTTTACGATTTTGTTGAGTTAATTCGGGCAATGGTAAAGGTTTAGGCATACCCCAATGGGTGGGTTGTGTTTCTTCAGAATCAGAAAAATAAAAAGGAAGCTTTTCCTGTTGTGCTTTTCGAGGTTGTAAGGGATCGGTTTCCTCCTCTCCATCTTAATGATCATCCCCATCAAATTTAGTGTAACTCAGAAAATATTGAACTAGCTCTACATGTGGATTATATTACCATCATCAACCAACATTATTAGTTTTGCCTCATCATTCGCAGATTCATCAACATCAATAGTAAGGTCAGCGTGAACAACAACCTTACCTTTAGACCTATAATCACCCACATGTATAAGTTCATTGTAAAAATGAACATGGTTGGTTGTCATAGGTAATAAATTACAAATTTGATTACTTTAGCACCAGAATAACTATTTCCATAACGATTTTCCCTGGGAAATCGATTACTACCACTTTCCAAAACATTATTAACAACTAATAATTGTACTGTGTTGGGAGGCATAGTAGTAACAAAACCAAGAAAATATCTAACATCACGATCGTTAAAAATCTGCATAACTATATTTGATCCAGGACATTGAAAAGATAGACGAATTTGATTAGTGTGTAACCTAGACTTGGAAGCAACCAACGTAACTAACCCAAAGAAGTTGATATAATTGTTTATATCTACACCAAATCATGTGTAATCCGGAACAAGATACTGCATACACTCGTCGATATGTTGTCATTGCCCTCCACTAGAAATTGGAACTCGAAAAAAACTCGTATACGTACTCATTCCAGAACGTTTATGGAAAGTATCAAACACACAAATATATTAAAAACACAAGTTTATTGCATATTTGGAACACAAACATACAAAAACCCTAATTCTAGCTCTCCGGAATGTACGACCGTTACAGACTTCAGTCCGGAATACATTTTTTCAGTCCAGAAGGTACGGAGTGTCAAATTTCGGACCTCATCCCCACCAACCGACATCCACTACAGAAGAAGATCATAAATACTCCGAAATATCGTATTCCGGATCACAACTCCGGAACAAAACTTCGTGCTCCGAAATACGGTATTCAGGATCATGTGGTCATTTTTCCAAAAAAAAATTGGTTATTTTTACATAGATGAACTCGTCCACCAGACGAATATAACATTAGTTATAATGAATCTCATTTATCTTCATGACTCTCTCTCTCTCATCTTTAAAAAAAAATTCTTTTCAATAAAAAATTCCGTCCACATACCATGGTAAAACACCAAAGTTTAAAATGTTAATACTCTAAATGAAAATACGATAATATTTTAATTTGCAAAAAGGCTAATACTTTGCGATCAATAGTATTTTTGTCATTTTAGATTAAAAAAAAAAAAATGAGCCCTATTAGCTATTAGAAAGTTGGCAACCTCTTTTGACTTTTATTTAAGTTGATTACACATTTAAAACGCTGAAATTCGAGTGACATGTGATATAATTTAGTCACAAACAAAATACGTAAATTACAAATGTATTATAAGAGTTGAAAGAATATTCCGAAGCCACAAGTAGAGATATTCTTTACCAACTGGAAATATATTTTATTACTCTTTTTAGATGGTCCCAAAACTCTCTCTGCCCTTTTCTTTACTTTGTCTTTTTTTATGGCACGTGAAAATTACTGTTCGGACCCTTTGTTGGAATTCCTATAGAACAATATGTAAATTTCAAATAATTTCTCTTTTGACAATATAATTTTTAAATAATTGCTTCCAAAAACATAGACCATAAATGTATTGATTTTGAAAATATGATCTATAAACTAAAACTAGTCTAGAATATGTAGCATTTTATATTTGATTTGTCATCTGTAATTCATCAAAGCAATTTGTATGAAGCAAAATTTGTATAATTATAACAAATTTAAGTCCACACAACAACTTTTAGTCATCTAAAATGGGTTGGGATGGCTAACATATAAACATTTTTGTTTTCCTTAGAACTTTTAAAATAATTATATACAAAATACAATTACAAAATATCCGTTATCATAAACAATGCCTAATTTTTGCATAAATGGATTACATGTTTTAAGCATACAAATATATATTTTATATGACCTCATCAAACAAATATGGAATAGAAAACCATACAGTTTTTTAATCGGGTTTAATAAACCATTTCAAAAAAAAAAAAATCACTGTTTATAAATTATATATTTGTTTTATTTCTTTTTTTTCGTCCAACTTATAACTATAAGGCAGATCTTGAAAAATTTTAAAATTTGATCATAATATTTTTTCTATATAAATTATAAAAAAAAGGTGAGTCATGAGACCACCTAACTCCTAATCTCTACTTAAACTTTTTCCCTACATCACACTCACACCGAAAGTACAAAGGTGAAGCAGATTAATATGATGAATGTTTCAAGTTAAAAATTCGAGCACCGCTTTATTAACAATCAATGTATATAGCATATCTCGCACTTCGTAGTCATGCGTTCAACCTATTTTTAGTTTGGATTTTTTAATTACTTGTTGATAAAATATAAACTAAAGCCACTTGTATACTTATAAATGTTTCAAAATAAAAATAAGTATACAAAATACAATAAAATGCATATATTGCCAGCCTTTTAAGCTTGAATTACATACATATATAAGGTTTCCTTTTAAACTTAAATATCACAATCATATCAAAACATAAATATTAAAGTTATACTTGACACACTAATTAAAAAAAATTAATTACTAGTTGATAAAAATAATTAAAATACATAAAATAATATAAAAAAACTTATACAAAATAAAGTTATTCTATAATTAATAAAATTATATATGATTCTTCTATTTATCAAACATTTCAAAAAGAAATAAACTAGTTTTAAGTTTAAACGTGATAAAAATAACCTAAATGTTAAAATCATACTAAAAAGAGAAAATAATATATTGAAATAACCGACCTTTATTTCCTTTTCAGCTACGTAATCAAAGTACAATCTTTTTTAGGAGATGAAATGGGGGTATTGCTTGGTGCTCTCCAACGCCGATTAGGAGTTATCGTCAACAGCCATTCATACGCCATTATCAAGTTCTAAAGCTGGATAAGCTACAACAATTAGCCAACAAGTTGAAACCTTTTCAAACCCAAGCTTCGTGATTCATCGGAGAAGCAAGATCGTCATCTGCTAGGGTTTTGTAATTTTACAGACAGATCTCAAGTACGCGCCTGTTTTATCCAAAATTAGCTGTAACATTTCGGTTTTTTCTTCGATTCATTCACTAAAGACTTTATATATATTCTTTGGGATGAACTTTCAGATTAAATATGCAAACGGAAGCGACGGTGGGGGTGGTGGAAGGCGGTGGACCCGCTCGTAAATTGGTAACGCATCACCAGAGGCCGGTGCAACAGCAGCAATCTCAGGTAGGGACGGTGTCTCAGCTCATAGCCGGTGGTGTCGCCGGAGCCGTTAGCAAGACCTGCACTGCACCTTTAGCTCGCCTCACTATACTTTTCCAGGTTTTCTTTTATATCCTTCTTAATTTGTGTATTTCATACACTTCAATCAGTGACCTGAGACTTATTGTTGATTGATTTGGGAAATATATTTGAAATCGAAAATTAATCAGAGCTCATGTATCTCAAGCTGGAATTTCTTGATTCTACAGGTGCAAGGTATGCATTCTGATGCTTCTACCTTAAGAAAAGCCAGTATATGGCGTGAAGCTACACGTATAGTCAATGAAGAAGGATTTCGTGCATTCTGGAAAGGGAACTTAGTGACAATTGCTCATCGTCTACCTTACTCCTCCATCAGTTTCTACGCATTTGAACGCTACAAGAATGTTGGTACAAACGTTCTTTGCTGAAATTCTGTAGCCACATGTACATTTGAATTTGATTTTATAATGTTTTCTTTGTTCTTCAATTCTACAGTTACTACAAATGTTCATGGGAGTTGAGAGCAATGGAACAAACATAAGTGCAGACTTGTGTATACGCCTTGCAGGTGGTGGTTTAGCTGGTATAACTGCTGCTTCTGTTACATACCCTTTGGATCTTGTAAGAACTCGCCTTTCAGCACAGGTAGGATTTTGATAAATCATAATCATATTATTTGGCAAATGGCAATTATCTTTTTTCATGTCCTAATTCCAAAATTGTTAAAATCTTGTAGAGAAATGTTTTATATTATAGAGGTATATGGCATGCTTTACGCACCATAAGCAGGGAAGAGGGGATTTTTGGCCTCTATAAAGGACTTGGTGCTTGTCTATTGGTAATAAAGTTCATTCCTTTATTTGGTATTATTGTTCCCTTTTATTTGACTTCATAAATGGCTTTACAGGGTGTTGGCCCAAATCTTGCAATTAGCTTTTCAGTTTATGACACCACAAGATCTTACTGGCAAATGCAAAGGTATTTATAATTTTATATACTTTTATACATTATAAATACTAACTTTGATCTCCATTGTGTTTTAAGTTCCATTATCTGATAAAGGTAATGTTTTTACTTTTTATGGTAACAGACCACAAGATTCTACTGTTCTAGTTAGCCTGGCTTGTGGGAGTCTTTCAGGAATTGCATCATCAACAGGTTAGTTAATAGTTAGTGGGATACAATACATCATACATCTCTCTTTTTTCCTTTCTTGATTGAAGAAGATGGAAAATGCTTGTTTTTCATGGTGCATTTAGCATTTACTATATGGCAATGTGCATTGAAAAAAGAATATAGGATGTAATAGTGTTGTTTTAAAGATTAATTTTTCACGAAAAAAAAAAAAAAAGAAGTTAATGCCTGTAGCTGTCTTCGATGCTTTTGGTGCAGAGAAGCAGGTTGCGAGGCACTAAAAATGTAAACCAGATAAAGATTCTCCCTTAGAGCCAGCCATGGAGTTGGCACTTGGGGTTAATCCTTTTCAAAAACAGTAAGTAAGTAGGCACTTGGGGTCTTGTGATGGATGTTTGAAGGTTTTTCTTAGATATATTTGAGTTTATACCCATAATTAGGTTAAGTGAAAAAAAATACATATTTATTACAAAACTTTATGCAATGTCCAAATAACTCTTAAAGATATCTAGTCTTTGTATGGATCTGAATGTTGGCCAAGTAAAAAGGAGCATGAGAGGAAATGAGGATGTTGCGGTGGACATATCGTAGAATATTGTCGCACAGTGTAAAGAAAAATTAGTTGGGAGTGGCGTCGATCAACAAGGTTGTGGTAGTGCGGTCATCTCCATATGAGACGAAAAATGTCTGCAGTTAAGACTATGTTTGGCGTAGTAGTTGAAAAGTTAGCTGTTAGTTGAAAAACTAGCTGATAGCTGAAAATCTAGCTGTTATATGAAAAGCTAGCTGCTAAAAAAATGACGTTTGGTAAAACTAGCTGATATATATATATATATATATATATATATATATATATATATATATATATATATATAAGCTATTTTTTGGCTTGCCAAACATGACAACATTTTAAAAAACTCGAAAAATAAGCTTAGCTTATCAGCTAGCTGTGGTGCGCCAAACATAGTTTAAGAGGATGGAGATAATACGTGTGTTAATATGAGAAGAAAATGGGAAGATAACGTGAGATTAGACTTGAATGAGTTGACTATTACTCAGGATATGACCTTAGATAGGAAGGTGTAGAGGCTTAGAATTTGAGTAATGGAGTAGTATATGAGTATTCTAAGTACTTTTGTTTTGTTCCTCTCTACTTTCAACTTGTATTCACTATTTGTGTATTACTATAGTATTTACGTGTTTATCCTTATTCCTTTTTACTTTCAGCTTTATTTGTTTATATCTACAAACAATTTAACAATTTATTTCAGTAACATTTCCACTGGATTTGGTGAGGAGGCGGATGCAGTTGGAAGGGGCAGGGGGTCGGGCACGTGTTTACAATACGGGTATTTTTGGTACATTCGGGCAGATAATACGGGCAGAAGGCCTACGTGGCATATACAGAGGAATATTGCCCGAATATTACAAGGTGGTCCCCAGCATTGGGATTGTATTCATGACTTATGAGAAACTCAAACAAGTATTGTCGAATGTAGACACTACTTGCAGATGACCGATTTTGACCCGAAAAAAAAACATTTTAGTAATATATATTTATAGGTAGTAGGAGCTAGGGAAAACAACCCAAATATTTGTCTTCTTCTTAAGGAAAAAAAAGAAAAATAGAAGTCTTGTTTTTCTCTACAGAAATTGTTATATCAAAGTATAGATATATATATATATATATTTAATATGATCCCTTTGTTGGGGGAGAAATTCATTGGTTTCATCTTCGATTAGGTTTTGTTTTGTTTTTCTCAAGTAGGCAGAGTTAGAATGTTTGACGGAAATTGTAATATTATATTTTTCATAATTGTAATATCATTTTAGACAAGTACTGACTATTTGATCACCTATCCAAAAAAAAAATCAAAATTATATATAAATCAAATACTAAGAGAGATGATAACTTCTTTTAATTATATTAGTAGTGGTACATGATCAAAACATATATGTAACTCTTATATATATGGCTAGATGTGTGTTTAAAGAGTATATTAAAAGTGTATAATATTAAAGCGAAAAGTGTTTTTACATGACGAAGATATTTCCGTAAAAGTATTAGCATACTATATGGTGAATTCATGTCGTAAAGGAAAATGTGTGTGATGACTTGGAGTTTGTATGAAAACGCCTACATTTCACAATTCTTAGTACACAACGAAACATTATAAACTTCGACTCAATAGCTTTTACATCGAAAACAACTGATGTGCTTTTTTTTTTTTTTTTGTTGTATACAACTTAGTGGATAACAAATTGTGAAAATTTCCATCGTATGTCAAGTTGTGAATATTTCCAAAAGGTGACAATAGTATTATA